CAGAGGTTATTTCTGGCAGTTTGTAGTTTGAGAGCCAGACTGTGACGTTACCTTGTCATCAGAAATCAGGGCGTCCTCCACCTCCGGTTCCCCCAGGGTTCCGGCGTCCACCAACCTGCTGATCAAGTATTTGTGTCGGGCGTCCAGCGTTGCTCGTCTCTCCTCCTTCATGGCTCTTGCCTGCTTCGCTATTTCTCTTCTCGCCTCATTGGACAACAGCACCGTCCTTTTACCAGACACCTAGACAGAAATCAGTCGTACACACAGTAGTGTCCAGCTTCTGTCTGTGGACATGTTTGTATAAGCAAAATACAGCATAATGAGTTGTTGTTGTCAACTGCTAATGATGGCTAATGGCTAACTTGGCTAGAGTTTCGTTTTGGAACTTGTTGTACTGGAATGTGGTCAACTTGGGTGTGATGTGATTCCATTGACAGTATATATAATGGACAGAGCTTCTGGATCTGTACAGCCAGCAGGGGGAAGCTCCATTGACTGCAATAAAAACCGATACCATTCAGTCTTATGGAGAAATGAGCCGACTTCTCAGTCAATTGATGAGCTCAGTAAACAGTTTCCTGATGAGTTTCTGGTCTCAGTCTCTAGTTTCAGTCTTCTTCCATACAGCATGATGTTCATTTAGTAACTGATGGTCCCATTTAGAGTAAAACAGACCATAAATTGTTTCCTGCTACGGACAAGACGAAAACTCGCAGCTCAACTTGCAGTACATCACCTCTGACAAACTGTCATGGCGATGACCATAACGTCTGACTCGAGGCTTCAAAACGACCTAATGGGTGAGATCATGATAGGTTCACAGTTGGGTGTGATTCCCAGTTCTGACTTTGGACTTCCAAGGTAAATGGAGCGCCCCATTAGGACGCCAATTACAACCGACTTTAAGCTGAGTCGACCACATGTAAACCCTGTTGGTGAAACCAGCTCCTGACTGACTGTCAGCTGTGAGAGTTTGGGATGGCCAGCTGTCACCATATTTTTCAAACCTTCAAGACAAAAGTCAGGCCAATTTATTTACAGTAAACCTGAATCCTAGCATCACAGCGCCTCCTGTGGCCGGCGGCTGTTAGTTTACTCACAGCGGTACCGATGGTCGGGCACGGAGCAGCTGCCGGAGAGGACATGTTGTTAATGGCTCTCAGGTTCTGGCCTCCTATTCGCCGGTGTCCTCTGCCAGTCGCATCTGAGGATTCGGGGTAAATAGCGGAAGTAAGTGTACAAGCAAAAAATAAATAAAACCAACAATACCTGAAAAAAGGCTGTTTTTCATTATATCATTTCATTTTGTATTATTTTTCCATTGCTAGGACGCCATAAAATAAGATGCTGTCGGCGTATTAAATCCATTCATACTTGTAGGAAGTGACAGATTATTACTGTGATGAGGAGTGGTAATAGTCGTATTTATTTTGTAAAAGTGGTACTAGCAGCCATATTAGGGATCATATTCAGATTAGGATCATTAGTAGTTGTTAAAGTTACCTAGCATGCTAATAATAAAATAACACTATGAATACTTTCATACTATTATTAGTAGAAGTAATATTATCAGTAATAGCACACTTTAACTCTAGCTCCAGTGTATGATCAGTGTATTATCTGTACCTCTGCGGAGCTGAAGCAGAGGAGGTCTGGGTTTGATTGAGACTCCGTCTCCTCCTCTTTCCTCCTCCCCGTCCTCTCCCTCACCCCCAGGGCCGCCCTGCCCTCCCGCCTGGAGCTGTGTGTCCGGGGAAGGAGCGCAGCCGTTCAGCCCAGGTTCAGAGCTGCCTGCTGGGAGGCCAACAGGCGTCTGCTCAGTCTGTGGAAGCTCAGCTGCAGACGGAGAGTCTAGATCTGCCATCTGAGAGTCGAGACATATTCATCTTAAACATTTCCAGCATCCACTGAAGTAAATGGTGACAGAAGCAGGGGTGAAGCAAGGTGGGTGGGGCTCCAGTCCAGTTTCTCAAAAGCCCTGAATCTTTTAGGCTTTTAAAAAAACGTCTCTCTGACTGGACCAGATTATCAATGAATCCAAAAAAGTTCTATTACTGGGAATAACGTCATCTATAGGTCCGCACTAGCATTATCATGTCGTCCTGTGTGTGTGTTGTGTTTCATTTAGTTGTGAGCAAGCTTGCTAACTAGCTTACTAACTTTTGGACTATGGACACAACAAAAGACTCTATATTTTATATCATATGATGTACAGATTTTTCTGCACAAATAAAATCCAGACTTTAGTAAAAAATGAAAATGAACTGAAACAATATTGTGTACAGGAAATGTGTTTAGTTTTTGTCACTTTGGTCAAATTGGTCAATACAAGCACGAGGAGCCGTTGTTGCGTGTGTTTATTGAGAATGGGAGTGAATGTGTTAAATACTCCCATATTATAATAACTAACACTGAACCAATAAAGACTAAACATTTGAAAGAATAAAAACTAAACTGGAAACTAAACTGAATTGAAACATGAATTAAAAATTAAAGCTGCAAGCGGCCGCGTCAAGTGCCATCGTAACACGATAATGTCAGGTAAATCAGCTCAAAATCGCTACACAGCGCTTACTTCCTGTTGCCAGTAGGGGCACTATCTCTATGTCTGAATATTGTCATGTAGATGTGTTCAGGGCGGGACTCTTATCAAACACATGAAGTTTTGTTGAGATCAGATAATGTACACTAAAGTTGTGAGGACGTGTTCAGGCTAGGACTGTAACAGAATATATGAAGTTTATTGGAGATTGGACATTGCACACTGAAGTTATGAGTACTGTTTTATGGCGAATCGGCTGAATTGGACAAGTCGTCACTGGCACACGGTTTGACGTACAGTCACAAATAGCTCAACTTTTCATGGTTTGCATGACCACAGAATTAAAAATGGCCAACTTTGACAGCACGCCACAGACACACCCTTCAACATACAGTCTCAAATAGCACAACGTTTGATAACCAATGTGTTTAGATTGCAGTGATCGAATTTGAAGTCAATCTGATAAAATCTGTAGGAGGAGTTAGTTAAAACAGAAGCGCTTAAATGCCGGAAATGGCATCACAGTTTGACATTCGATTCAACCTGACCAACTTTGAGGGAAAGCCACGGACACGCCCTTTAATGTAAATGCACAAATAGCACAACTTTTAATCAGCACCATTTTTTGACTGTACTGACTAATTTTGAAGCAGATCTGATAAATTCTCTAGGAGGAGTTCGTTCAAATACAACGCAAAAAATTCACAGAAAATGCGCAGAGAATTTACTATGGCCAACTTTGAGGGCACGCCACAGACACGCCCTTCAACGTACATGCACAAATAGCACAACTTTTAATCAGAACCATTTTTTGACTGTACTCACAAATTTTGAAGCAGAACCGATAAATTCCCTAGGAGGAATTTGTTTGAATACAATGCGAAAAGTTTGCCGAAAGTGAAAATGAAAATGAAAATGGCCGACTTCCTTCCCTATGGGTCCAAGAGGCTTTTTTGTACGTCCCGGCATGTTACACGTGCCTACCGAGTTTCGTACATATTGGTGAAACGTGGCACCGGGGCTGCTTTTTTTCTATCCTGTAGGGGGCGCTACAAACACAACAAACACGATTTTTGGTATGTGAGCTACAGGCACTACTCTACACGTACCCTGTGAATTTCATATTCATAACTATTACGGTCACTGCACAGTGATTTATCATGCCAAAAGAGCACCAACTAGTGGCATATTTTTTTTGTCTTTTTTAAGTGAGCCTCAGGGAGCCATGGGGAATCACTGTACAAAGTTTCATTTTAATCACACGTGCCGTTGCAGAGATATAAGCTTCTTCATTTTAAAGAGCGCCACCTAGTGGCGATGACCTGAAATTGTGCACGATGCCTAAGGAAGACATGGGGAACTATGGACTCAAGTTTGGTGACAATCGGAGATACCAATGTGGAGAAATGGTCCACTTCCTTTTTTGACGAAAAATCCTTTTTTATTATGAGGGTCCTCAGATGCTAGGTGAAAAATTTTGTGCGAATCGGACAAAGTGCATGGGAGGAACACGGAAAAGTACTTTATGGACATTTCGCGCTCTAGAAAAAAACAATTATAGGCGGAAGTGGGCGGGGCTTACATGGGGAGATTCAGCTCTATTCACCGAACGCGTGGATACAAGATTTTTGAATGTGCGACAAACTATGCAGAAGTTATTAGCCTAAACGAAAGCGACGCATAGAATATCCCCATTTTCACCAGGCCTGACAACTTTGCCAAATAAAATTGAATTTTCGTATATGTTCAGGGGGGCAAAAATGCAGTCAATAGGGGCTAAAAATAATAGGTAAGAAGAAATCGAGCAAAAACAATAGGGACCTCCAGCGGTCGCTGGCTCGGTCCCTAATTAAATACAATGTAAGAAAAAATAATAAAAACAAACGATTAAAATTGTAAAATAATTCTGTTCTGAAAAAAAGACCTCGTATTTGTTATATGAATACATCTATTTCACGTAAAAAATTCCATGTAAAAAGTGCTTTTACACACTTTAAAGCAAACATCCTGTCTACGAATAAGTTGCAATATTAAAAAAATTAATTAAGCTAGAGTAAGAAATAAATGCTGATGTAAATCCTCATGTTGAAGGGCCTTTGAGCCACGGAGTGAAAAGCTGTTGTAGAGCGCAGCTTAAAGCCTGTGGAAGAAGGAAAGAGGTGAAGGTGACTGACCTGTGCGGTGTCAGAGTCTGAGGACGAGTCACTGCTGCTCCCAAAAGCACTGAGATACACTCAGAGGGTCAGAGGTAGAGCGAGGCACAGAGACAATGAGAGAGAGAGGAATCAGGAAGTAAACTGGCTCTGCAAAGGAAAAGCTTGACTGTTGCCGTGGTAACTGGAGTTGTGTGTGTATGTGTGTGTGTGTGTGTGTGTGTGTGTGTGTGTGTGTGTGTTGGTGACTCGGCAACTAAACGCACAACAAAGCTGTGGAAAAGAGACCAGGAGAGAGGAGAGAGTGTGTTGAGTTCTTCGGTTTATTGGACTGTTACACAACATGACATTTATTTAGACCAAAGCAACAATAAGTTCATTTACACCGGCGTTTCACTGCAGCCAGCTTCCCCCGGTGAGGATTCCCTCACTGTCCTTACAGCAAGAGTTCGGTTCTGGTCGTTTTATGTTTGTGACACCAAAATACTAATCCAATTCTTCTTTCTTATCTGTCAGGGGCCTTCCTAACTGACATCACAACATTCTGCAGTAACACTGTGATCACATGGTACAGAGCATGAACAGAACCTACAGTAGTGATAGCACACGGCAGGACGAAGCACGAACAATTGCTACTTAAACAAAGAAGAGACGAGACCCAGTTTCTCTATAATTCATTATTTTCTTTCATTCAAACCAAGCTTAAATCCTACATGAACATCACAAGCCCTGTTATATATATTATGAGGAGTACAGTTTAGACCTGCTGTATGTGAAAAGTGTCCTGAGATCATGAATCGGTGCGATACAAATCATTGAAAGTTGAATGTTTCTGAGATTACTCTGCAGTTTTTTGCACAAGCTGATCTCTCAGTCTCTGTTCAATAGTTTGTTTCAACCGGACAAACTGCAGTCATCCAGTATCTGCTTAACCTACAGGACCCATAGCAACACACATGCACCTGTGTTTACAGGCTGAGCAGGTAGTACATTACTCAAGTTTACTTTCTTCAAAGCTCCCCATGTACCATATTATTACAGGTTGTCATTTCAATTAAAGAAATGTCAAATAAATTCTATACATTGTTTCGCTTAATCCCCCCCATTGTGGAATGCAAGGAAACTTGATACACTCATTTTTATTTATTATTTTAGATACTAGATAAATATAATAGGATATCCATTAGATATTGATATATTGGTCAGATATTGACATTTAGGATGTATATCTAGAAGAGCTTCAGTGCTGGCTAGGGCTGCACGATTCATCAAAATATTATCGAGGTCACAACATGGCCAAGTGCAAAATGCAAAGCTCAGAGCTGCATTTTTTTGCTAAAATTAAAATGTGACAAACAGCTTTATAATGAAGAACTGTAGTTGTAGAGACGTCTTGGTCGACAAATCTTCTGCAGATTTAAGAAAACATATTTTTTTGGTACAGACCCAAACAGAACAAATTTCTATTTATTAATTTATTTCCACACTAACCGCAAATATGATGTTTTTACCACACGGTGCAGCCCTCGTACTGGCATTATAGAAAACTTAAAAACCTGACAATGGCAAAAGGTGTTATAGTGTAAGTGCTGTGTCGGCAGATGGTGCACAGTAATTGTAGTACTTGCACATGTGGAGACACAGGATTTGACCTGAGAGCGTTTCGCTTAAACTGAGGCTCCAGAATGTTGCACAAATCTAAAATCAGACGCTGGCTCTGTTCATTGAGTTTTGTGTTTTTAAGGTTATATTTTTGCATATTTCAATGTTTCCTAATATATTTAAGTGTAAAAAGAAGAACGTGAGAGAAACAAGAGGAAGGTTTTTTTTTGTCTCTGTTTAATTTTTTATGCTCTTTAAAAATCCAATGGGAAAAATGCAGGCAGACTATTACAGAAACACTTTTACAGATTCACTCTCAGCCTCCAGTTTCTTGCTTTTGTTTCAGTTGAAGTTCAGCTTTCTGGAAAGGCATGGATCCACCTCACGGAGAGCAGCGATCAGGATTGAGCTGGCTTCATGTCCCTTGTTTCGCACCGTGTCGATCAAGTATCGAGCTTTTTCTGCTTTGACTTTTGTTGTAGCTGACTGCATTTCCTCATCATTTATAATGCGACGTTCAAGGAGTCTATCCAGAAGCTGGTTCAGAACAGGGTCAGACGCACCGCTTATAAACTGTGTCCGAACTGAGAGCAGCCTCTCCTGTGCTGGGACCCAGTCCTGTGCTGGGACTCTGTCCTCTGTTGGGACTCTGTCCTCTGTTGGGACACCAGGACCTGGAAGATGAAAAAGTACTTGTGTTCAATAACTTTAACACTTTAAAGCAACATTATGTAACTTTTCTACCATAATATAACAGCTTTACACTGAGTTGTAACAGGGTGAATGGTTCCTCTGTACTTTTACACTCTGTAACTTTTTCTTTTCATAAACCGTACTAAGTATTTTTTGTTTTATATTAATGCTAACCAAAGTGCAATTGTTTCACAATGTTCATCATGCAAGCTTAATTTTGAAAGTGTAACTGTACATTGAATATTTTATTATTATTAATCTTCTAATTTGTGTGAAATAAACATTTGTGTAATGCAACTGTTTGCAAAGCATTTTAGTGAAGCAGGACCCGGTAATCCAGAAACATCAAGAGTTTATGGCTCAAATACAGACAAAGATCTGCTGAAAAAAACACAGCGAACTGATACGATGTGATAGAAATGCATTTCTTACACTGATGTGAGATCATGTTTTTCTCACCCTATGACTGACCTTCTGCTCCTGAGCTGATCTTTGCCAGTTTGGCCACCAGATCGTTCCTGCTCATCTTTTTAAAGATGTTCCTGGTCACCTCCACAGTCCCGGCAAAATCATATTTCTCCACCATCAGATCCACTGTGTCCCGCCTCTTCGCCCCCGACAGCTTGCTCACCTGGATGGGCGGGATGTCCCCCACCTCTGCTTTCTTCAGGTGCCATTTGAAGTCCTCAAATTCCTCTTCTCTTAAATCGCCCAGGATGGTGATGAGGTCCGCCTCCGTCATCTTGGTTTACTGTTAAAATAAAAGAATACTATCAGTCTGAAGCACAGTTGTTGTGTTTCAGTGTGTGTGCTCTGTTTACTGCTGTTACTGCAGTATTACTTAATATTTGTCCAAAAGCCGGTTTGGTTCCAGTTTCAGAAAGGCCATATCTTCAATAAAGGAGATTAAAAGTTTATTCTTGACCTGGGAGAGAATAGTTGACAAAGAAAGAAAATCCAAAACAAGTTCCAGTAAGGCTGCTTTCACTACAAACCACTCCCCCCTATGAACCACAGCCATTATCATCATTTGATAGTGGCAAAGGCAGTAAAAGCAGCTGCAGAGTCCAAAGCCCACCCAGTTGTACAGCGCGTTACAGTGGCTGAGGAAGACAACTGACCACAGCAGATCAAAGATAAACTGAAAAGGTTATTCAATGTATGTGTTACAACAACAAATCAATACTGTGGTCTAATCATGAAAGAATGCAAACAGCCAATAGTTAGAAAAAATAAATATAAATATAGGCATTTAAGCAACTATGAAGCAGAAATAATGAGGATAAACTATGAACTTTTAGCCTAACCGCTAAAATTACATTTATAAATAAATGTTTATATTTAATATTGAAATGTAGTTTTTATACATTTTATAATGTGAATAACTGAGTAACTTTTGCAAACTTCACATCATCCAAGATATTTTGGATTCATTTTTGTACAGTGGGAGGAAGTAGAGATATATATGTCAATGAGCCATCAATCAACCAGCCAATCGGAGGCAGGGTAGGGCGGGTCTTTTCAAACAGTAGCATGTACTGTACGCCCACTATAAAATGAAAAGATTACTTTTTTGGTCTAATTTCTGGTATATTGAGATAAATGTCCTGGTGGTTGCAGCTGAATCGAGTATTGTTGAGATTGTGTGAACAGGAAACATTTCATTCAGTGGATTGTAGCTGCAGGATCAGGAATTCAGCAGTCTTCAGTTGAAATGTGTTTAAAGGACCAGTGAGTAGGATTTAGTGGCATCTAGTGGTGAAGCTGCAGATTGCAACTAACTGAATAATGCTTGTGTCTGTATTTGACGGCCTAGTAATGAAAAGCCAGCGTTATGTCCTTTCTGGGCAATTGTAGAAACATGGCAGACTCCGCGGTGGCCGATAAGAACGTCTCATTTTAAGGTGACAAAAACATGATTATTATTTCAGGTATAATATTCCATTTCTGACCATAGATCCTCCTTAATGTTTCACACTGGAGCTTTAAAACTCTGAAGACTTTTCTGTTTGCTGCTGCCTATAATTAAATCATATTACACTAAACTGTATGTTGCTTTTAAGTTTTTGTCTTCATGCCTTTTATGTGTTATGTAAAGCAATTTGAATTGTCTTGCTGTTGAAATGTGCCATACAATTAACTTGCCTTGCCTTATCTAGTTCTACCTTTGAAGTCCTTTTTTTCCTGCAGAGCCAACTGAACACACATCAAAGGGTGTCATGAAACCATCTTTACTTCCTGAATGGAGTAAGTTAAAGATTAATCCCTTCCTCTCAAACTGTGAGATTTATTTTTTTACTTCAAACTTCAGTCAGATTGAGCGCATGCTGAATTAGAATAAATATAGTTTTTTAAGACACTGTTTTGTCTCCCAGATATAATTTAAAAATAAACTTATTTTCACCAGCAAATATTCTGAAAGAAACAGAATGTCACGTTTTTCTCAAATGTTGAAATTTAAGTATCTGCAAAATTTGCACTGACAGTGTTTTTCATTTGTTGTAGCAACTAAAGCGTGCTGAAACTTTTCCTCGCAGCTTCATAACACCGTTTGACACAGTGAATAAACAGAACCATGAAAAAGGACCAAATGCAGACAACCAGGCCTGACAGGAAGAGTTCAGTGATTTAAATGGAGATATAATGATACAAAGGGTTAAAGAAAAAGACAGCATTAGTGCAGGATGAGTTATCAACTACTTTTCATTGTTTCTCAGGAAACTCTAAAATACCACTAAGAATACATGAAACTACCCTACAAGAGGACTTCCTCTCACTGTTGGACAGATACTGGAAGACAGGAGACAGAGATGAAAAAGAAACTGAAACACTGATGATTTTGAATTCAGTAATTGTGTTAATGTATTCTAGTTACTTTTCCACCACTGCTACCAAACCTTCCCAGCCTCTATGCAGTCTGACTGATCTGACGGTACAAAGTCAGTTCCAGAGAAATCAGTTTAGACAGTGTTGTGTAACTACCCTTCAGATATAAAGCAGTAGCTTGAACTGATTACTATCAGTAATTACTTCCACAGCTATGCAAGAGCAGTGCAGGGCTCCCACTTTTTTTTTCTTGACAATACATGGCAGGACTGTGTCACAGTGGTGGTTAGTTTTAGCTTGTTTCCTGTTCTCACCACAGCGGACTGCAGTTTTCCTCAAACCCTAACATTAATTTATCCAAAGCCCATAAAGAGAGTATAAATGTTTTTTGCACGTAAAATGAACAATTATCAACCCTGACAACAAGTGTAAATTTGGTTTAATAACAGGCTGTGTGTAGACGTGACCGTCTACAGCATTTCCAAAAAATAGATTTGATGCCAAATGTTAGCTGCAAGTGTGAACAGCTCAGACATGGGAACAGAAAGTAAAAAGGAGCAAGTTTTTGTTCTGCGTCTGCTAAACCGGCTTTGAAGTGTCAGAGTATGCAGCTCTTCCTACCAGCAGCCGAGTTTTAAACAAAATTACACACCCACGTTTATGTAATCAGAGAGAAGAGCTAAAATAGAATTTAAATTGAACCCTGATAGTCAAATTTCTTTTTTATCCACTTCTTTAGCCACAAAGAACGCTAATGCTTATATGGGTCTATAGACGCCAATACTGTTTAACTTCAGCATCAGCAGTGACACTGTGATCTCAGAACAAAAGAATCATGATAAACAAGTCTGTTCAAGTGTCTTACGCAAGACTGAGAGAACACACACACACACACACACACACACACACACACACACACACACACATACACACACACACAGAGTTTAATGTGTTTTATTCAGCCAATCACGCTGTATTCTCAGGTGAATCAGAGGCTTAATAATAATAATAATAATAATAATAATAATAATAATGTTGTATTAACACTCACCTGGTCTCAGACTTCCCTTTTACTCTTCCTGCTCTGGCGACTCTCTGACCTCTGACTGATTGAACACTTTCAGTTCTGATGTGTCTTTCCTGTTTTTAGTACAGTGCCCGCAGTGTTGTTCCTCCCCTCATCATTTACAGGAAATCACATGATCATCTCCCTCTGCTCGAATAGCTCAAACTGAAACAGTTAAACCTAACCCAGCAAACAAGGTTAAGACCGCTGTTCATCAAACTCATCCTAGTCAGCTGGGTTAACCTACCTTTGGTTAACCCCCCCCCAACGCCTGGTTGTAGATCAGCTGAACAAATGTTTGGTATCATTCAACTTTTTAATGTGAGCCTTGTCAGAGGCCTGTTGCTGCTGCAGTTGTTTGTAACACCAGAAGAACTATGTCACGTTCCTGATCAACTTTTTAAAAACATAAAATTTATCGTGAATTAATTTAAATCTGCATCAGACTGTTGTCTCCTGATCAGGTTGTTTCTGTCAGATATAGTAATGTAACTATATAAAAGAGACAACTTTCTGTTTCATGTCGAAACTTCAGAATTTGATGCCACGCCCAGATACAGCATTCGATATTGGGAGTTTAGCTGCTATACATGAAGTTGTTAATACATCTAATTGTTTCAGCTGTAATTAGACTGTTTTAGTATCTGAAATCCTAAATACATTAAATAATTAAGACACATTAACATTTTCTAATGGCAAGATAATGTTAGTGACAGCCCCCTGGTCTTAGTTTTCCTTCCAGTCAAACATTAATGTAATAAAACTGAAACTTTCTCACATCAGTCTCCTTTCTTTCTCTCACCAAAAAGCCTGAAAATGTGAAGTTTAGTATCTTCCTTGTTTTCTGCTGATCTTTCTCAACAACTGCAGCTAGGAAGAGGAGCAGCACATGCTTTATTCTTTTTGTTTAGAACTACTTAAAATTTAATTTTATAAATTATAAGACTGGGAAACGAGAGGAGACATAAAATATGTTTTTTATTTTAGAAACAGAAATTTCCAAGAGACTAACTGAAGTCTAAAAGATTCTCTAAACTCAGTTTAGTGTCAACTGTTGCTCCACACTTCAAATCTAGTTTTATCAGTTTAAATCAAGTTTAACTAAATTACGTCAGTCAGAAACAAAGAATTCCCATCACTACATTAATGCACACAGATACTGCATCCATTCAGATAAACAGTGGAAATGGTGACATCTTCTGGCAGAAAGCAGCTCCAGCAGCAGCTACAGAACTTCAACGCTGGTGAAAACTAGGAGTCACATTTTTTTTTACATCAAGCTTCATATACAAAATTAAATATAAAGATGATTTTTCACCATAATGCAGAACAATCTGTTTGTAGTCAGATGACAGATTTTAATGTCTAATATGTGGAAACTAACTGCACTACTCCATCGTTCCACAAGGTGGTGCTGAAACATAAAGCAAAGCAGAATTATGCAGTTAAATGTGTTTATCTACAGTTATATTGTCATGAACAGAATTAATCTGAAGAGGCAGTTTGGATTCAGAATATCTGATGAATGAAAGAATAACATGAGTGACAGGATGTTTCAGGTGGAGGAGGTTGAGTGTGGAGCAGTCTCAGTGTGTCTGCAGAGACTGTAGACGGACAGAGCAGCAGCAGAGTGCTCCAGATACACTGATGATACTCTATCACATGATCCAGAGGAACACACAGGGACCTGATCTCAGAGCAGTTCAGACTGCAGCACTGAGAGTCGTCTCCACTGGTTGTGATTCCTCTGTCAGTCACTGCTGGATGAAGCTCTCCTCTCCACTCTACCTCCCAGTAACATGGCCCAGTCAGAGCTGATGCTGCTGCTTCAACCTCTCTGGATCATCAGGACACAGCTGATCCTCCAACACAACCTCCTTCCTCACTGCTACTACAGGCTCTGGCTCCTGTAGTAGTTCTAGTTCAGTAAAAGGGTACTATGAGCTCTTTAAGATATGAAGGAGCCTGACCATGGAGAGCTTTGTAAATTTTACAGGGAGCCAATGCAGAGAAGCTAGTACAGGAGAGATGTGATCTCTTTTTCTAGTTCCTGTCAGTACTCGTGCTGCAGCGTTCTGAATTAATTGGAGCGTTTTAATGGACTTATTGGGGCAACCTGATAATAAAGAGTTGCAGTAATCCAGCCTTGAAGTAACAAATGCATGGATTAGTTTTTCTTTCTTGTGTATTTGAGGAGACATCAGTACCTGTTGAGGGACACTACGATGGTTTCACTCTCAAATGGGTCCTCACAAAGATAGTAACACAAGCCCACACACAATGAAAAAGAGCAGCAGTGCTGTTTGTTCAAGATGTAAAATATTTTATTCTCTGTAAATGATTCTAAATCTTTGTCCAATCAGAACACATCACCTCTAGCGCTGGGACAGGAAACAGTTAAACTTTATATAAAACTGAATTAATTAAAGTTGAGGATTTTATTGTTAGTGACAGCTGAAGAGTGAACAGGGAAAAGGAAAGCGCGTAGAGAGAGAGAGAGAGAGAGGATGACACCCAGTCAAACCCAAAGTTTTTATTTTCTTCCTTTGACAGTTATTTGTATTTTCACATAGTCCAATACTGTACAGATTTAGTTTTATTTCATAATTTTAAAGACTAAAGTGAGTAAAAACTGTTTCTTTGTACAACTTCTTCCATTGAGGTGATTAATGATAACATAATGTATAATGTATCTTCTTTAAATATACATTTTATAACATTCGTATATATTCGTATTTATAATGTTTGCAAACATAGCCAGCACCAGTTAGGCTAATGTTATTAACATTAATTCATTAACAACTTCAGCTTTCCACATGACCCCAGTCCATTTACCTTCCCTGACATTACTGTCCTCACCAGTCAGCCGTAGCGAGGAGGGATAAAATCAATGTAATCTTTAAATAACATTAGCTTCAATCATCATCAATCCACCCAGCTTGTTATTTAGGTCCACTGAGAAATAATTACTGTAAATTAAAGAATAACACAAAACCAATCAAAATGAATTATTTCAATACTTTAAAGTGAATTGAAACATTCAGCGTCAATAACAGGAAACCTCCAGTCAGTGTGGTTTGTTCTCCAGACTCCCCTGCAGGTTTATGTCCATGTTCACCCTCTTTGTTCACCCAAAGAAGAACATGTTAAAGGAAAACTGTGAAAATATGGTCCAGAACCCAATGGTCCTGTAGCTAAAAAACATCATTCTGTGTTGAGCATATTTGATCCTCTAATTATTTTTCTAAAGTAACCATTACATCAGATTGTTCCAATATTTCTTTAAGTATCATGTTTAATCTGATTTCTATTTCTGCCTGATGCTGCGGCTGCAGCTTCTTTGTCCACCCGTAAGGTCTGCCTCCATCTAGTGGCTGAAACTAAGAACAACAGTCTGACCTTCTGACCTGTTTTCTCCTCCCTTTTGGACTTTTTCAATTGAGTGAATAACTCACAAAACAAAACACAACAACATGTTAATGTAAAGATTACAATCAGTAATGTGAGACTAAACCAGCGAGCTGTTAATGAGATTCATCATCACACAATTTCTTGCTTTTGTTTCAGTTGAAGTTCAGCTCTCTGGAAAGGCATGGATCCACCTCACAGAGAGCAGCAATCAGGACTGAGCTGGCTTCATGTCCCTTGTTTCGCACCGTGTCAATCAAGTATCGAGCTTTTTCTGCTTTGACTTTTGTTGTAGCTGACTGCATTTCCTCATCATTTATAATGCGACGCTCAAGGAGTTTATCCAGAAGCTGGTTCAGAACAGGGTCAGACGCACCGCTTATAAACTGTGTCCGAACTGAGAGCAGCCTGTCCTGTGCTGGGACTCTGTCCTCTGCTGGGACCCTGTCCTCTGTTGGGACCCTGTCCTCTGTTGGAACCCTGTCCACTGTTGGGACATTCCTCTGTGGACCTGGAAGATAACATGGAAAATACCTTTGTTGTCTCAATACATCCATTCTAATCTTGAATTTGACGTTGGAGTTGTATGAGCAGAGCAAACAGTCACACTGAGTCAATCAGCTGCTCCAGTTTTGGGAATATGGATGAAGGGAAGGTCACATATGTAAGCCATGATCTCAGAGTGGTGAGACCCTCAACTCTACATATTCCATATGTACTGGGACTTACTCGCACAGGTGCAACTGACGTGGATACTATAAAAGCATGAATGGCTGAAGAGGTGGTCTCTCCCCTCAGAGAACCTGGCTTACTAATGAAACCTTCCATTCTTTATATGGCAGTTGAATTTAAGATAAGATAATGGCTATAATACCAGCCTATTGAAAAGCCAATGCAATCCAAAGAGGGATCGTAGACCAGCTCTCCCACTCACTAGGTAAGTGGACAACGCTGATGTCAAACACGCTAAAACATGCTCCAGCCTGAATGTGCAAAACAACTACACATACTGTATCTATTCTATTCTATTGTATTCTATCAATAAACTCTGACAGCAGGTGGGGGGCTTCTACAGGAGGGTGCAGCCTTTACCTTTCAGAGCCACAATGCGTTTCCAGACTTCTCTGCTCTCTTGATCCTGGACCATCAAAGTCACTCTCTCTGGGTTCGTAGTCAGGAAAACTTCAAATGTTGGATGGAAATTTGGTCCGTACTTTGACCGAAAGTTTTTTTGCTGAAAACCAGAAGCAAGGTGTAATTTTTATACCAGTGGTAAAAATGTTTATCTGGTACTTTCCTCAATGTAAATCTATTTTCAACATGCAGCCATTGTATGAACTGTTTGAATTGTCATGATAATTCTGTGTATAACCATTGTAGAGTGACTCCACTCACCTCAGGCTGTATTGTAAAGCCCTCAGGTTCACAGTGGACACTGTAACTTTTACCAACGCTGAGATCACAGTCTGAAGAGATCTTGATGTTTTGAGCACCTTTTTGTTGAGTGGAAACCTAAAATAACAGGACATTTTATTATAGAGTTTCTGATCAGAAAGTTCATCTTATTTACAGAGCACATTTAAAAACAACGAATGTTGACCAAAGTGCTTTACAGAGAATTACAATCAAATAACAACACAGACATACTAGAGGGTCTCAGTATAGCGTATTATCAACAAAGAACAAGAATAAAAACAAACAAAAAACAGAGTATGAACAGAATAAAACATTTATATTAATTGTTCATTTTTGTTTTTTCAGTTTCAAAATCAAATACGAAAAACAAAATAACAATAACAATAAATGTTTTTCTGTTTTTCTGTTAGTAAACAAGAATGAAAAATGGAAGAAAAAACAAACAAGCAAAAAAATTATCTTTTACTGTTTTAAAGGCCCAGTGTTAACCATTTAGGAGGATCTATTGTCAGAAATATATTATTTATAGTTTGTATGATTTCATTAGTGTATAATCACTTAAGAATCATTTTTTGTCCCCTTAGGATGAGACGTTTTTATCTACAGAGGGAGCGGGCCCTCTTTTAGAGTCTGTTTCTACAGAAGCTAAGAACGGACAAACCAAATGTTTTTTGCACATTTTGCGATTATCAGTTTCTCTTTCACGCTTGAAAGGGGAGAGTGAAGCAACAGAGTCACGATCTGCAACTACACCACTAAGTCCTACAAACTGGACCTTTAAAACCAGAACAGAAATATCAAGATTTTGCTTTGTTCTCCGGCGGGCTGGACCCAAACCCAACTCTGGACCTGGACTGGACTGGTACCTGCTTTCTGGCAACTCTTGAGAATCTGCCTGCCACTCTGCCGGTACTAAAACCAAGTAGACCTGGCTGTGTTAATGGTTTTTCCTACTCTGTGGCAGCCCTCCCTGCGGATACCCGACCTGTCTGCAAAAAACCCCCAAACACAACCAGAACTAATACAACTTCCAAACTCAAACTGTCGACTCATAGTCCTTCAGAATGAACGCCCCATGTTGTTGTGTAACAACCTACTGTAGTTGATGTGCTGTCATATAATAGTGTTTCATTTGAACTGGGTTGGAAAAAGTACAGACACCCTGCTAGGTCCAGGTCCAGCCCGCTGGACAACAAGCTAAAGAAGTGCCCAGTGTGTGTGGAGGGGCAGCACAACTGCCCTGTGGACATCCGGAGAGGAGCAACTCAAACAAAACAACACATTTTATTTATTCCACATATAAACACGCATTTTCTTTGTTTGTTCTTCTGTTTTTTCCTTCTTGTTTTAAAATAGAAAAACACATTTTTTACGACGTGGTTTTGAAACAATAAAAAAATTACACGGGCAGGCAGACACACATACTGAGAGAACCCAGAATAAAACTAAACACAAAAAGATTTACAGGTCAGATTGATTTTGGTTCTTACCACAGTGTGAGACTGACCTGAATCATCTTTGTGGAAACAACTGTGACTTAGAACACAATTTTAGGCAGATGGTAAACACACAAGACAGGTAGCTTTACCTCATCCAGAGGGATGTTGTCTGGCAGCAGAAATACATCGAGTATTGGGTACCCTATGTCTGGAGGTCGGAGGTACAGCAGAATTTGGCCAGTTATTGGCACCAAGATTTCCATAAACCTTCTAACGAGATCCCAGACCAGGCCAAAGGCAGAGAGGTGAGGAACCTTCACAACCACGTGAGTGTTTGTAATCTGCAGCGGCTCCAGGATGCTCATTCCATCATCAGTGATGTGGACGACAGACAACAGACCATCAAAGAGCAACGCTGTGAAAGCAAAGAGCAGTTAATCTTTTTAAGCTCATTGATGCACCTGGGGAATGAAGGCTGAAAACAGTTAATGCTGGTTCTGATAGAAAGGGGTCAGAACACACAGTGCAGAGCAGTCTGTTGGTCTGGGACTGCAGAACATTATGAGCACCAGGTTGCACATGGTAATTTTATGGCTGATCGGTGTATATACATATATATGAATACAAATCTTTGCACTTTTACTATTTCAGTTTTGAAGACTGAATGTTTACCATCCTTTTTTTCACAGTGTGGGAGGTGGAGCTGACAGAGAGCAGCATCCTCTGAACACTTGATATCGAACAACATTCCTGCAGGTGTCTTTCCAGCTGACTGGAGGAGGCTCTCATCCCACTGGATAGTCCTGTACAGCAGCTCCACCTCCTGAACCACATCAAACACCAGCCCAGTCAAAGTACACTGGAACACACCTGGACCAGGACACTTGAACCTGTAGGGCACAGAAGGGTTGATTACTTCAACCTTTCAGCCTGTTGGTCACATGATCTGTTGAGTTAAGACGTGCAGACGCTCTGTGTTTTTATTCATCTTCTACATTGAGTTTTACATGTTTTTAATCTTCCTTTCTTGCATCTTTAAAACTCTGAACTCTTAAATCCATCCAATCCCCAGACAGACATCTTTTATTGTTCAGTTATTTCCAGCTGTTTTTCCTTGAGAACCAAAGTGGGCGTTTCATATTCTACAGGTGGTTGTGCAGCGCCCTCTGTTACTGATGCATCCTTGATTACAATGGTTCCACTTAAAACTGGCTGAAACGCAGGCTGGTTCCTTAGACAGCAATCAGAAATCGTACACTGAAATATGTTTGTGAAAAGACTTGAGGAGAGAAACAGTCAACACAGTAAAAGAATTTTGACTCATATTTGATCAGCACTGCCTAGTTTGACAGTTTGATCTGAGTTTTCATGAGCCTGCTGAGGACTCAAGGACTCACACAGGAAACAGAACAAAGGAACAGACTTTGGGATGCAGAATTAAATGCACATTAATACATACATACAATACAGAATAAACTACATTTAAATGCTGAGAAATGTTTTCTGTCATTTCTGGACGTAACTTGGCAACTTTTCTTGCTTGGCTTTCCCAACTTTTCAGACCCTCTAAGTGACTTTATTTCTAAAGAAAATGTATTCAGACTTATTCACCAGACCACACCATTAGAGAAGAGTCAGTAAACATATGCAGATATATAATATAATTAATATCCATGCATGAGTAATCACAAAGCTCTTCTTCTCCTTCTCTTTTCTTGCACCATGTGCAGGCAGTCAGTAGGTTGGGCAGAGACTCTCTCTTCTCTCCGGAGCTCTGGATTAGGATGTTCTTATAGCTTATAAATATATTAATCATTTGTTTGTTCGTGTAAATCTCTCTCTCTCTCTCTCTCTCTCTCTCTCTCTCTCTCTCTCTCTCTCTCTCTCCCATGCTACAACCGACAATATTCTAATGCTTTATGTAAAGGAAGCTGTTGGACCAGCTAGCTCAACTGAAGAGGTTGAACATTTAGTGTAGGAGTTGACGAGGTCGAAGTATTCTGCATTTTATGATCTGGTTACCTGTATGAAGTCTTTCCAGACTCAGTCAGCAGTTCCGGTCTGAAACTTAACTTGTCCTAAAATTGAAAAAGGCACAAACTTAGTTAATGAAACTGGACTGGAGAGTTAATTAGAACACATTGAGATGGGAGCAGAAACTGGCTACAGGTGACAGGATCCTCACTGCTTCACTTTCTACTCTACGTAAAGCCTGCAGGACTACGTTGGACAGCAGCTGGTAGTTTAATATTAGTAGAATTTAGAAGGTCAGAAATATTCAACCCTGGAGGGGGTAAAACTAAGGAACCAGAGTCTGATCACTGACAGATGAATAAAAATGTTAAAGTTAAAAACTGACATTTGTATTCAGAGCCTCTCCACACACAAGCTGCTGCTGCTTCAGTGTCTCTGGATCATCAGGACACAGCTGATCCTCTTCATCCACACTCTCCTCTCTGCTGTCCTCAGACACATCCAGGACTGTGCTTGATGTGGACGGATCTGGTGGGTGATTAGAACCATCGCATGGGGACAAGAAGACACACAGCAGAACACACAGTTCAAGACCAGGTCCAGTGGCCATAAATATCAAGTTAAAGTCCATACAATACAATGTATACAAAAAACACAAGGACTGAGATTGAAGACATTCTTTCAGTGACATCCTCTTCCCCAACATGCAGAACAAAAGATCTGCAGTGGTTATTGGGATTAACCAGCAGCATGAAGCCCACAGCAGCCAATCTCCCAGTTATGCTTTAATACCAGTTTAAGTTTCTTTAATACATCCAGTGGGTGTTTACTCACATCCTTCATGTTTATGAGGTGTAGCCCTGTATTCTCTGTCGTCCACCCTGTAGGAATAAACACAAATACAACAGTTATCTCTCATGAAGAGAGTGAGGCTGTAATTACACACAGTGGAGCTTGGAGCTAAATGCTAAAATCAGCATGTAAACATGCTCACAATTACATGGAATGGCGCGGGCGACAACGGCAGCCTGTCATGGCAGCTCCTATCATTGTTGTAGTGTTAGTGTGTTTTCAGTGTTTTTTAGCCTGTGTTTTTTTTTCTATTTTTCACTTTTTTCTTACTTTCTTACTACTTTGTTCACATCGGCTAAATACTTTTTTGGCGTTTTTGAGCAACAAGTTTTTTGTTTACGCTGGTCTCCATGGCGACGGCGAGTTGCATTGTTTACACCCGCGACCAGATGATCGCCCTGAGGTACCCGAGCATCCTGACTGGAGAGAGACCCTCCATACCGGAGGAGCTGAGGAGACGGTGAGGCTGCAGAGCGGGGGTTAAACGGAGGATGAAGAAGAGGAGGTTTAAACCCTACAAACGTGGCTACACGAGCAGATACCGGACTCGAACGTCACCATTCCCGGCTTCCAGGCGGTTGGAGCCGACAGGGACACCACCGCGACCGGCATGAAGAAAGGAGGGGGACTGTCCGTGCTCATAAACAACAGGTGGTGTAACGCCGGGCACGTCTGTGTGAAAGAGCGTCTGCAGCCCGGACATCGAGCTCATCGCCGTCGGACTTCGTCCATGTTATCTGCCACGGGAACTTTCCAGTGTTATCACCATCACTGTCTATGTTCCTCACAGTGGTCTTCATCATCATCATCATCATCACTGTCTATATTCCTCACAGTGGTCTTCATCATCACCATCACTGTCTATATTCCTCACAGTGGTCTTCATCATCATCATCATCACTGTCTATATTCCTCACAGTGGTCTTCATCATCATCATCATCACTGTCTATATTCTTCACAGTGGTCTTCATCATCATCATCATCACTGTCTATATTCCTCACAGTGGTCTTCATCATCATCATCATCACTGACTATATTCTTCACAGTGGTCTTCATCATCACCATCACTGTTTATATTTATTCTCCTGTACAGCACTTTGGTCAACTTTGGTTGTTTTTAAAGTGCTTAACAAATAAAGTTGGGTTGGATTGGATTGGACAATGACAATGCTGACATACTGATGTTTACAGGTATATTGTAATTGTTCACCATCTTACTTTACTGGCAAGTGTTACACATCGACTCGTACCACTGTTAATTCACCGTCTATTATGTGCGTCGATGTCTGGGGAGTTTTTTCTCAGCTGTTACCATGGTAACTACCAGTGTCTGTGCTCACTGGCTGTATCTCAGTCTATGTATCTATCTTAAGTCAGCCAATCAGAAGACAGTGGGCTTTAGGATAGACGGGACTTAATGAGATGCCTTGTTTCAGACAGATGATCAATCAAGAAAGATGTTTCTGAAGAGTGGATTACACAGAGTGTTGTGTGTTGTTAAGTTGGTTAAGTTTAGTTTCATGTTTAGTCCTTCCTGTTTTATTTTGTACTCACCTTTTCCCTCACTATTCAAACCCTGACTTCCTCCCTTTTTGTGGGATTTCCCGCCTTTGTAGTTGTCTGCCCCGCCCCTGATTGTTTTCACCTGTTTTCACTTACACCTAGTGTAAATAGTCCTTGCCTCCCTTTGTCTTTGTCAGTTCGTCTTGTTCAGTCAGTAAATGTGTATCGTCAAGTGTTCCAGTTCAGTGTTCAGGTTGTTTCATGTTTCAATTGTTTCAAGTTTGAGTTTTGTTTGTACTTTGATATCCTCCTTAAGAGCGCCTTTGGTTGATAAATAAATATCTTTTTCTTTCTACATCTTCATCTGAGCCAGAGTCGTGCATTTGGGTACACCTATATTGTTTCAGAGGTCATGACACAAAGCTACTCTTGTGTAGTTTCAGACTGAGAATAAAGAGCTGGACATTCAAAGTCAGAGGATCACTAAAGTTATTATAATTCATCCTGAGGGGAACATGAATGTCTGAACAGACTTTCATCTTAATGCATCCAACAGACAGAGAGACAGCTCCTGTGTATGTCTCTGTGTGTGTGCCCTGTCACTCACGGTATGTGTTTTGTCTTGGAGGTGCCAGAGGAGCTGATTCAGTTTATCCACTTCGATCTGGAGCACTTGGGCCCGGTGCTTGCCGGATATAAAAACTCCAGCATTTTCTCTCTCTCTCTCTCTCATTGAACACTGAAGAAACAATAAATTGCTTATAAACTAAACAAGAATTGATCATTTATAGCCAATAGTCAGACAAACAGTCATACAGCGAGACTGGTCAGAAGAAGCTCTGCTGTTCTCACTGAGGAGGAGAACTAATACACTGTACACCTGTATGAATATAATTGGATGTTACTGGTCAGCTGGTAGCTGAGAAGCTGATGGATGAGCCACTGATGCCAATCAGGTACTGAAAATGTGAGTCCAGTGTACAGCCTGAACAAACACAATCTCCTCTCACACCTTTAAATCTTATTGAGCAGAGCCGTCAACAATGGGCTCATCAGCATGGACTCAGTTCAACTAACTACAAACCTCAGAGTCTCCAGTCTGCAGTGTGGACTGTCCACCAGATCAGACAGCAGCTTCACTCCTGAATCCTGCAGCTCGTTTTCACTCAGTTCCAGTTCTCTCAGATGGGAGGGGTTGGACTTCAGAGCTGAGACCAGATAATCACAGCTGATCTCTGATAAACTGCAGTACCACAAACTGAATAAAGAATAAAAGATGTGAGTTTAGAAGACAATGTTCCTGCTTAAAATCATTCAGTGTTTAATAATCTGTTCAGAGCTGAAGAAGGTTTACAATGTACAAGTTTAGAAAAATGGAAACTCCAAACACCTGAACCCAACAGGATGCAGGTTGCAAACTGTAAAATACAAAGAGTGAAAAAGAGCTTTCATTAATATTAATGACAACGTGCTGCTGCTTCAATAAAGACGTAGTGACTTCAGCTCTTAACCTCTGCCAGCTCCACCAGTGGCTCCATCTATACAAACTCATGTTGTGCAGCCAAACACAAAGAAACACCCACAGAAACTGATTGAAGGTTCCACTCAAGATCCCAAAGTTTACAAAGACACCAAATATGTCAGGATGGATTTTGGGGAAATGTGAACAAAAGACAATATTTATTTTAGTAATAGTGAAGTCATGAAATCAAATCAGCTTCAGTTTAAACTATTCAGTCAGTATAAGCAACATATGTTCGAAAAAGCAAAAACTGAATCTATTTGTTATTGTCTGATAGTTGAAATAGAGATTTTTGATTTATTCATTGTATTTATTGTCATAATTTCTTTTAAAACACATGATGTAAATGAAGAGTGAATTATTCAGTGTAGATTCTTCTTGCAATATGAAGGTTTTAAATGTGGAGCTCAACATTGCTCTGCTACAGTCGATGGACTAAACCACTGAACTGACTTTAGCATTAAGATACTCAGTGTGGATCAGTATAATATCAGCCTTATGTCTGCACTTTACTGTCAGCACAACTTTCACATCAGATTCTCAGCACAGAAGGAAAAAAATGTGTCTGACCTCAGAGTCTCCAGTCTACAGTGTGGACTCTCCAGAAAACCACACAGCAGCTTCACTCCTGAATCCTGCAGGTTGTTGTTACTCAGCCTCAGCTCTCTCAGATGGGAGGGGTTGGACTTCAGAGCTGAGACCAGATAATCACAGCTGATCTCTGACAAACTGCACCAACTTAATCTGAATAAAGAATAAAAGATGTGAGTTTAGAAGACAATGTTCCTGCTTGAAATCATTCAGTGTTTAATAATCTGTTCAGAGCTGAAGAAGGTTTAGAATGTACAAGTTTGACTTCCGGTTATGGCGGCTCAGAACGGTCGGGTCAATTCAGTCTCCCCCGCTATATTATAAGATTTAGTAATGAGTAAAGCCCTTTTAATAATATCTGTGAAATAGAAGCTCACTAAGGGAGCACGATGTCAACACCAAGAGTCCGTGGACAAGGACACTATGAAAAGAAACCGACCAACAACCCAGAAGATCCTAAAATGCCAGCCCTGGCTAGCAACAAGCCAGACCTAACACCTGTGATGGCTGCCAACAACACGCTACAGACATCCGGACCGCCTTTCTGGTTCTCCACTGAAATGCAAAAGTTTGCGTAAATAATTCAAACTTCCATCATGACACAATTACACCAAGTTGACGCCGCACTGGAAAAGATTAGTGAGGCCATACACTTGACCAATACGAAAATCATTGCACTGGAGGCCAAGTGCACCGACTACGAGGCCTCTGCTGTGGACCTACGGGGGCTAACTACAGGGCTCACAGAGCTGGAACAGAAACACCAAAATGAAGCGATGGAGCTGAAAGACAAACTAGACGATTATGAGAGCAGAAAGCGTCGTAAAAACTTGAGAATTGTGGGATTCCCACATGGAGTCTATGGCTACGGTTCGATACAGTCGGAGAGAGCCCATCGCACACTACAGAGACACCCGAGCGAGCAGGGAGCACCCAGAGCCTTCGTTCTCAAACTCCTTCGCTACAGGGAAGTGACCCAGATACTAGACGCCGCCCACTAGGTATACCTAGAGGTATTCCCATCACATTAAACGGGACACTCACGGTATTTACAAAAAAACACACAAAACCCCATGACATGCGGGGCGAATGTAGATCATGAAGGGGTCCGTCCGTCAGGTTAAATCCTATGGATACTTGTTTGAAACATATCTGAAAGATTACGCTGCCGGACTGGGCTTTAGTTCTGGTTTTAATCAATGAATAAGCTGTGTACAATTCACCTAATAGTACACGGACCCCTTTCCTCCCTTATCACTTATAATTTGCCTGGTAGCCATGCTATTAAGCTGTTCAGATAGTGACAGGGTCTATATATTTTCTGTAACTCTATATGCAATTGCAGAAATATTTTTCATATATTCCACTAGACAGTTTTTGAGGATAACCTTTCCTAATGTGATGATGTGAATGGGGTTTTCCTGTATTATGGTTATTATTGTTATTATCATTTAGTCCAAGCTGATTTAACTGTCGAAAGTTTGGTTTCATGTTAATTCATATCCACTGCGCTTTACTGTCAAGGGTCTACTCAGGGACTGTGTGTGTACCTTTACTGGGTGACTGATGACGATCTAACTATGTTTGTGATGTTTCCATCACTTTGTAGGTTCAACGTAGGTAAGAAGACCTCGGTAGGAAATTAGGTCAAGGTGATAGGGGATAGTTACTACTGGTTTATTCAAGTGTTGAGTATTTTTCTTTTCTTTTTCTAACATATGTATATTTTCCCTCTTGGTATTACCTATGGTACAATCTACCTATTCTGCTGTATATAGATCCAGCCAACCCAGTTCCTATATTAATATTACTTAAATAATGATAAATACACCCATGCAATACAGATGTTTAACCCTCAATGTTAAAGGTATTACTCACTGCATAAAAAGGAAGCGTATCATAAATTACATGAAGCAGCACCAGATTGATATAGCTCTACTGCAGGAAACCAGGTGTTCTTTTCTTCCTATACCATGCGAGCTAGAGGAGTGGCCATATTAATTAATACAAAAATCCCTTTCCGGTTGATGTCCACCTACAAAGACAAGGGAGGGCGATGGGTTATTGTTCAAGGCTCTATTCTCTCCCAATCCATCACTCAAGTAAACATATATGCACCCAATTATGATGATCCCCAGTTTTTCCACAACATTTTTTTCAACCTAACAAGCCCTCCCCGTGAAACTTTTATTGGGGGGGATTTCAATCTAGTACTCGACCCTATCCTAGACAGGTCTTCAGCCAAGCAAACAACTCTAACACAAGCGGCAAAAGCATTGAAAACTGAGCTCTGAAACTTTAGCCTCTGACATATATACATATAGACATATACCTAACCTGGGAATATTCTTTTTACTCCCCAATCCACGACAGCTACTCAAGAATTGATCTCTTCCTGGTTCCCTTAATTAAAGCTCATACAATTCCCCCATGTGAATATTTAGCAAGAACTATTTCTGACCACTCGCTTCTGATCCCAATCCCTTCCACTGAGTCTTCTAGTTCTCTTAAAAGATGGGGTTTCAACTCTCATTACTCAACGATCCTGAATTTACTGAGCTTATCAACAAACAATTAGACCTTTTCTTTGAGACGAATTAAACTCTGCCTCACCTGATCATATCATATACATCTGGCAAACGTAAAAATATATAGATCAAAAGTGGAACTTTTAGAAAAGGAAATAAAACAACTCGAGATGGAACATGTAATCATACAGAACAGAAAAGTTAGACAAAAACTCAGGTCAAAACAACTAGAATACCAAACTATAACCACTTACAAAATAGAGAATTCAAGGAGAAGGACGAAGCAAAGATTTTATGAACAGGGAGATAGAGCTGGCAGACTTATTGCCTGGCAAATTCATCGGGAGGAAGCCCAAAGAGAAATACATATCTTGAAATCAGGCCCTAATACAATTACGAACCCAAAAGATAATAATAAACAGCAACTTTAAACAATTTTATGGAGCACTCTATACAACCCAAGGTAATTTTCCTTAAAAAAAACAATTACTTTTTTAGATAAATATGACCTTAAAAAGCTTAATGAGGGAGCTAGGGACAGTCTAGAGGGAGTTATTACAGAAAAAGAAATATCAGGAGCCATTTCCAAAATCAAGTCAGGAAATTCCCCGGCCTGGACGGTTTTCCTGTTCTATTCTTCAAGACCTTTCTCACCAAACTGCTTAACCCCTTACTGTTGATGTATAATCATGCTATTGAAATTGGAAAACTGCCAGAATCTCTAGAATTGGCGCTAATAACGGTTCTACCTAAACCAGGGAAAGACCCGAAATGATGTAGTTCATACTGACTGGTTTCACTTTTATCCACAGATTATAAAATATTCTCTAAAATACTCTTGTTACGATTAGAAAAACATATCCCAGACTTGATTCATTTAGACCAAACTGGTTTTATTCAGAATCGCTCCCCATTCGATAATGTTAGATGGCTTTTTAACATCATACATGCCTCTGAAGCAGATAGCTCACCAATAATAGCCGTGTCTCTAGACGCGGAGAATGGCCCTATCTTTATGAGTTAATGAATAGAAAGAATTTTGACCCCACTTTTTATAAATTGGTTAAGATGTAATACAGATGCCCAATAGCTCAAATTCAAACAAATAATGATATTTCTTCCAAAATTACTCTCACGCTCCACAAGAAAAGGCTGTGGTCTCTCACCCTTGTTATTCACGCTAGCAATAGAACCGCTAGTGGTGGCAATAAGATCCCACCCATTAATTAAGGGACAACAGATAGGAGGGGCCACTCATACAATTTTGCTATATGCGGACGATTTCCTAATGTATTTTACGGAACCTGGTTCATCAATACCCATATTATTAGAAACATTAAATGAATACAGTGGTATTTCCGGATACAAGATAAATATCAATAAAAGTGTTGTCATGCCAATTAACACAGCTGGGACTACAATATCTAGATGTAACATACCCTTTCAATGGAACCAAGAGAAATTTAAAAAATAGGCCTTCAGATTCCTAATGTATGTTCGAAGGCTTTCTCTCTGAACTGAAGTGGAGCTCAACAGGTGGGCCAACCTTCCTTTGTCTTTGATAGGTCATGTCAACTGTATTTCAGTCAGCCAACTCACGTTTTTGGCGCCTATGCTCCGACCTCATCACTCCCCTTCACTGTTTGAGTGGCGCTACCAAGGGTGCAAACTCGGCAGTTGTACGTTTATTTATCCACACATTTATATGTAAGTTTCCGTTAGCAAGAGTGCTGCAGAGTTGCGCTGATGTCTCAGGAGTTTGGTTGGCCAAACAGGGGCGCGCCACAGTGGGCGGTAATATGCGATTACTTTTTGTTGGTAATATTAATTCTTTCCATAATAACTTGTTTGGGTGAAAGAGGAATAGGGGAGAAATTATGAATACATTGTGTTTAAATATGTATTGTGTTTATATGCTGGAAACAGTAAATAATAATAAGAAAAGGGATTAATTGTTAATTAATGGAAATATTAAGCCCAGTGAGAGGGGCTAGGGAAGACCTGAGTAACTTAAGTATTTGTTGTGATAGTTTTTTATTTTATGTTATTACTAAGTTTGAAATGTTATATACAGCATTTGATTCCCTTTTTTCAAGTTTTGAACTTTTGGACCACTTTCTGTAAATATTAGCAATGTTGTGCACCTTGGGACAACAGAAACCAATTACCCCAAACATATGTTCAGACTACGCATGAGTTTTTGAGATGTTTGAAATAAAACCTCACAACATTGTCTGATAGTTGAAATAGAGATTATTGATTTTGTCAAGTAAGTTGAGATCCCTAATCCGCTACACCACTTTTGGAAAGCACAGGACATTCCATCGTCCAACCCTACAGTGGAAAACAAGGGACTTTCCATTCAGCATCCAAGAAAACATAAACACCGGAGCATTAGGAACACTCCATCTGAATAACCTAATACACAGAGTTTATTCAATTCAATTCAATTCAATTTTATTTGTATAGCGCCAATTCATAACAGAAGTTATCTCAGGACACTTTTCAAATAGAGCAGGTCTAGACCGAACTCTTTAAAACATTATTTACAGAGACCCAACAGTACCACCATGAGCAAAACCTTGGAGACAAGGGCAAGGAAACACTGCCTGTTAAAAGGCAGAAACCTCGGACAGATCCTTCGGCTCTAGGTGGGTGGTCGTCTGTCTCGACCAGTTGGGGTGAGAGAGAGAGAGAGACAGAGAGAGACAAATAGAGAGAGACAGAGAGAGACAGAGACAGAGAGAGAGAGAGAATGTGGAGCTCAACATTGCTTTGCAACAGTTAATGGACTAAACCACTGAAGAAGAAAACAGACTTTAGCATTAAGATACTCAGTGTGGATCAGTATAATATCAGCCTTATGTCTGCACTTTACTGTCAGCACAACTTTCACATCACATTTGTAACGCCCATTAGTTACACACACAGTGTAATCCCCAATTTTTACAGTTTAACAAGTGTAGAGCTATACAGCCTAGTAGATTTTAGATGTAGTTGCTTAGTTTCACCAGCAGGGGTGCACAATCATTCCACACAAATGCTGGCAGCGCCTTTAGTTTCCTTGCTTTCTTTTTCTGTTCTCGGTTTTTTCCCATGCACCGATGCAGACCAGAGCTCCACGTGAGAGATGAGCGACTTTGATAAAGTGAATAACTGTAAAGTTGTTAAAATTACAATTTTGGAGGAGGAGGGTTTTTCTTGCCAAAGCTGACCGTGTGGATATTGATTATTATCGAGTGAAAACTCCGGTCAGTAAATGCTATGAACGATTAGCGTAGCATGCTAGCGATGTCGCCACGGCTAATTACGTGCTTATTTTATTGAATATGTCTCCACTGTGTATAGTTATGATTCTGTGATAGTGTTTAAAAACCAACCGGAGACAGATAAACATGTTGAGCTGTGTTAATAGCACTAGCACCTGTTATACAGCTAAGAAAGCTGGTTGTTGAGCTCAAACACACGCAGCTGTGTGAACTTGAGTTTACAGAAGATAATTCATTTCTTTTTCTTGATAAAAACATGATTGAAAGTCATTCATTTCATAATTTGTGTACATTAAGCTGTGATGAGTTAAAAGCATTTAAAGATTTATATATATAATTGTGTGTTGGCTGTTAAAGTTATTGTGCAGCTGTATATGAAACTTTGTCATTGAATAATTCATGTTCATTGATTTAAGATAAAAAGAGAGTTAATACTGTACAGTTAAGATAAATAGATAAAGAGAGATTAACGAGATGAATAAGATTGTATTAAAGAGATGCTACTACTACTGCTCTATGCAGGTTGGTTTTATTGTATGAGTGGATTCTGATGGCGAGCCAGAACCAAGCCCATTGGATCGTGGAGGGTGTGACGTCAGCGAGAGCTTCACTGTGCATTGGAGAGAACATCTCTTCATACAGATAATAAAACATAAAGTCACACTACCCGGGTAGATGAACAATCACACAAACACACTGAAGAAGGACAAACTGTGAATATTGACTTCATTCACTCTTTACTTTTTCTGTTTTTGGACTCTTTTGAATTTTCTTTCTTGCTTTGTTTATTATTCTATAATTCATACTGTGAAATGTTGTGTTGTTCTACTAAGTGTTATTCAGTGTAATTTTCTGAGCTGTTGGTAACTTCTGATACAGGAAAGGAATTTCAGTCATATCTGAAATATTTTATGTTTTGCACTTAAAGATGGCACTGTTGCCAATAAAGCTATTTGTTACTACTCTTTTCAAACTGTTGTCCTGTTCCATCATCCTCCTTGAGCGTATCTATATCTTCTGATTTGGCCTAAATTGAGAGTAAATGACAGTAATTTTATTATAAGTACATTAGACAGTGTTACACATTCATCTCAACTCAGAAGGAAAAAATGGTGTCTGACCTCAGAGTCTCCAGTCTACAGTGTGGACTCTCCAGAAAACCACACAGCAGCTTCACTCCTGAATCCTGCAGGCTGTTGTTGTGACTCAGTTCCAGTTCTCTCAGATGGGAGGGGTTGGACTTCAGAGCTGAGACCAGATAATCACAGCTGATCTTTGACAACCTGCAGCAACTCAATCTGAATAAAGAATAAAAGATGTGAGTTTAGAAGACAATGTTCCTGCTTGAAATCATTCAGTGTTTAATAATCTGTTCAGAGCTGAAGAAGGTTTACAATGTACAAGTTTAGAAAATGGAAACTCCAAACACCTGAACCCAACAGCAGGTTGAAAACTGTAAAATACAAAGAGTGAAAAAGAGCTCTCATTAATATTAATGACAATGTGCTGCTGCTTCAATAAAGACGTAGTGACTTCAGCTCTTAACCTCTGCCAGCTCCACCAGTGGCTCCATCTATACAAACTCATGTTGTGCAGTCAAACACAAAGAAACACCCACAGAACCTGATTGAAGGTTCCACTCAAGATCCTAAAGTTTACAAAGATACCAAATATGTCAGGATGGATTTTGGGGAAATGTGAACAAAAGACATCTTCAATATTTATTTTAGGAATAGTGGAGTCATAAAATCAAATCAGCTTAGTTTAAACTATTCAGTCAGTATAAACATCATATAGCTTCATAACAATGTTGGAAAAAGCAAAAAGTGAATCTATTTGTTATTGTCTGATAGTTGAAATAGAGATCATTGATTTATTCATTGTATTTATTGTCATCATTTCTTTTAAAACACATGGTGGGGAATATAAGATGGAAATAAAGAGTGAATCATTCAGTGTAGATTCTTCTTGTTATATGAAGGTTTTAAATGTGGAGCTCAACATTGCTCTGCCACAGTCAATGGACTAAACCACTGAAGAAGAAAACAGACTTTAGCATTAAGATACTCAGTGTGGATCAGTATAATATCAGCCTTATGTCTGCACTTTACTGTCAGCACAACTTTCACATCAGATTGAACTCAGCACAGAAGGAAAAAATGGCGTCTGACCTCAGAGTCTCCAGTCTACAGTGTGGACTCTCCAGAAAACCACACAGCAGCTTCACTCCTGAATCCTGCAGCTTGTTGTAACTCAGGTCCAGCTCTCTCAGATGGGAGGGGTTGGACTTCAGAGCTGAGACCAGATAATCACAGCTGATCTCTGACAACCAGCAGAGCCTTAATCTGAATAAAGAATAAAAGATGTGAGTTTAGAAGACAATGTTCCTGCTTGAAATCATTCAGTGTTTAATAATCTGTTCAGAGCTGAAAAAGAGCTCTCATTAATATTAATGACAACGTGCTGCTGCTTCAATAAAGACGTAGTGACTTCAGCTCTTAACCTCTGCCAGCTCCACCAGTGGCTCCATCTATACAAACTCATGTTGTGCAGCCAAACACAAAGAAAAACCCACAGAAACTGATTGAAGGTTCCACTCAAGATCCTAAAGTTTACAAAGATACCAAATATGTCAGGATGGATTTTGGGATAAACTCATACAATACAAAATTATCCAGAGAGTACACTACACAGGAAATGGGTTTTTAGATTCTGACATTTGTCTATACTGCATACAAACACCACAGACAGCCACATGGGACTGCACACCAATTAAACAATTCTGGCGGGAAATCACTGACAACATCTCTCTTATGTTGGGGTGCCAGATCCCACAATCCCCTGCACTCTGCTTACTGGGAGACAGGTCAAACATAAACAACACGTCCATTTACAGAATCCTCTTCATAGCCTTAACCATCGCCAAGGAAACTATCCTCATGAACTGGAAATCAAGGAACACAATCCATATCACACTCTGGAAAAATGTATGAATGGCATACATATCGATGGAGAAATGATCTGCCTCAACTATAAAACAAACCGTTGACTGAGACATTATTTGGAAGCCATTCATCAGTATACTAAACTCTTAATTTCACTCACTTATATACACACACTCTCTCATTAACTCGTTAATAAACAGGGCCATTCTCTCACTGTCCTTCACCATTTGAGTGGCGCTACCAAGGGTGCAAACTTGGGAGTTGTACGTTTATTTATCCATATATTTATGTGTAAGTTTCCGTTAGCGAGAGTGCTGCAGAGTTGCGCTGCTGTTTCAGGAGTTTGGTTGGCCAAACGGGCGTGACACAGCGGGCAGTTATATGCGATAATCTCGCAGGGTTTTCAGGGCAGAATAATTTATTTTAGTTTGTAATATTAATTCTTTCCATAATAACTTGTTTGGGTTAAAGAGGAATAGGGGAGAAATTATAAATACATTGTGTTTAAATTAGTGCTGTCAAACGATTAAAAATTTTAATCTAATTAATCACAAGGTTTCTTGAATTAATTTCGATTAATCACAATCCTAAATATGACTGAAAAATTCACATTTTCTGTGTACTGTTCTCAGAACAGAAAGATAAATGACAAGAAGCGGATATTACATTTGTTTTTTTATTAATGACAAATCCAAAAAAATAATTTAATTCTAAATAATTTTGGCAACTTAGCCATTGCTCTTTTTTTTTAGCAAATACAGGATAGGTGAATGGAACATTTTTCTTTTGAACAAACAACTCCACTTTCACACAACTACATGAGGCCCTTTTACATTTTATTTATTCATCTTTTAGCCAGTTGCTAAGGCAAACTAACTTGTTAACATTTTCTGAATGTAAAGCGGACCGTTTCTTCTGAACAATATGGCCTGCGACTGAGAAGAGTTGTTCGCATGGAACCGTGGATGCAGGAGTCGCTAGATATTTGCGGGCAACCAGGGCCAGCTTGTCATGTGCTCCTGAATGAGCAGCCCACAACCGCATGGGGCAGTCCTCCATACTTACGCTTGGCTCTGCTCTGTACCTGTGTATGTCTCTGTCAGGTTGCACCTCTTCATCTGACTGACTCTGTCGCTCGTGTCAGCCATGCTGTTTACGCGAGGAGGAACGAACGCGCGGGGTTGAATTGTGGGTAAAACAGGGTGGGAATGCGTTAATGTGTTAATAAAATGATCGCCGTTAATTCTAGAAATTAATCAACTCCTGCTAACGCATTAATTTTGACGGCCCTACTTTAAATATATATTGTGTTTAGATGCTGGAAACCATTAATAATGATAATCATAGGAAACGGGAGTAATTGTTGTTAATTAATGAAAATATTAAGCCCAGTGGGAGGGGCTACGGAAGTCAGCACTGGCTTAGTTACAGTGGAGGTAACGTGCACTGGAGGATACGACCTGGGTAACTGATGTATTTGTTGTGATAGTTTTTTATTTATTTACATTTGAAATGTTGTATATAGCATTTGTTTCCCTTTTTCAAGTTTTGCACTTTTGGACCACTTTCTGTAAATATTAGCACTGTTGTGCCCCTTGGGACACCAGAAATAAATTACACCAACCATATGTTCAGACTACACCTGAATTTTTGAGGTGTTGGAAATAGAACCTCGCAACATTGTCTGATAGTTGAAATAGAGATTATTGATTTATTCATTGTATTTATTATCATCATTTCTTTTAAAACACATGATGGGGAATATAAGATGGAAATAAAGAGTGAATTATCCAGTCTAGATTCTAGTATAATAATCGAGTATAAAATCAGCCTTATGTCTGCACTTTACTGTCAGCACAACTTTCACATCAGATTTATCTCAGCACAGAAGAAAAAAATTGTGTCTGACCTCAGAGTCTCCAGTCTACAGTGTGGACTCTCCAGAAAAACACACAGCAGCTTCACTACTGAGTCCTGCAGGTTGTTGTAACTCAGCTCCAGCTCTCTCAGATGGGAGGGGTTGGACTTCAGAGCTGAGCCCAGATGATCACAGCTGATCGCTGACAAACTGCAGCGACTCAATCTGAATAAAGAATAAAAGATGTAAGTTTAAAAGGCAATGTTCCTGCTTGAAATCATTCAGTGTTTAATAATCTGTTCAGAGCTGAAGAAGGTTTACAATGTACAAGTTTAGAAAATGGAAACTCCAAACACCTGAACCCAACAGGATGCAGGTTGCAAACTGTAAAATACAAAGAGTGAAAAAGAGCTCTCATTAATATTAATGACAACGTGCTGCTGCTTCAATAAAGACGTAGTGACTTCAACTCTTAACCTCTGCCAGCTCCACCAGTGGCTCCATCTATACAAACTCATGTTGTGCAGCCAAACAAAAAGAAAAACCCACAGAAACTGATTAAAGGTTCCACCCAAGATCCCAAAGTTTACAGAGATACTAAATATGTCAGGATGGATTTTGGGGAAATGTGAACAAAAGACATCTTCAATATTTATTTTAGGAATAGTGGAGTCATAAAATCAAATCAGCTTAGTTTAAACTATTCAGTCAGTATAAGCATCATATAGCTTCATAACAATGTTGGAAAAAGCAAAAAGTGAATCTATTTGTTATTGTCTGATAGTTGAAATAGAGATCATTGATTTATTCATTGTATTTATTGTCATCATTTCTTTTAAAACACATGATGGGGAATATAAGATGGAAATAAAGAGTGAATCATTCAGTGTAGATTCTTCTTGTTATATGAAGGTTTTAAATGTGGAGCTCAACATTGCTCTGCCACAGTCAATGGACTAAACCACTGAAGAAGAAAACAGACTTTAGCATTAAGATACTCAGTGTGGATCAGTATAATATCAGCCTTATGTCTGCACTTTACTGTCAGCACAACTTTCACATCACATTCATCTCAGCACAGAAGAATAAAATGGTGTCTGACCTCAGAGTCTCCAGTCTAGAGTGTGGACTCTCCAGAAAACCACACAGCAGCTTCATTCCTGAATCCTGCAGCTTGTTGTTACTCAGCCTCAGCTCTCTCAGATGGGAGGGGTTGGACTTCAGAGCTGAGACCAGAGAAGAACAGCTGATCTCTGACAACCAGCAGTGACTCAATCTGAATAAAGAATAAAAGATGTAAGTTTAGAAGACAATGTTCCTAATTGAAATCATTCAGTGTTTAATAATCTGTTCAGAGCTGAAGAAGGTTTACAATGTACAAGTTTAGAAAATGGAAACTCCAAACACCTGAACCCAACAGGATGCAGGTTGCAAACTGTAAAATACAAAGAGTGAAAAGGAGCTCTCATTAAATCTAAATCTGTTTTACTCGTTACAGCGGTCATTTTCCCACTTAAAAAACTTAAAACTATGTCGGACTCCGTAGTTTTCTCTGGACCCCTCCCCAATGTGACCAGTGATGACATGTATACCCACATGTCGGACTTCCAGCGCTGGCCGTCGAGGTGGTGTCCAGAAAACGATGAGGGCTTCATTGATAACTGGAAGCCTTTTTGGGGAAAACCTGGTCTGAGAGAGACGGCATCCATCCCACTTTGGATGGAGCGGCTCTCTTATCTAGAAATATGGCAAAGTTTATTTCTAAAACCTGACAGTCCAGAGTTAGGACCAGGAAGCAGAGCTGCTGTCTTACACACTTCTCTGCTCTTTCTTTAGAACAGTCACCCACCCAAAACCCCATAGAGACTGTGTCTGTCCCCCAACCACCTAAATTATTTAAAGAAATAAAAACAAGAGGAGTTCAACATAAAAAACCTAATAAAAATTCAAACTAACTCCTCAGTAGCACAAAATAAAAGAATGAAATGTGGACTGTTAAATATCAGGTCTCTGTCCTCTAAAGCTGTTTTAGTGAATGAATTAATATCAGACTATGATATTGATTTACTTTGTCTTACTGAGACCTGGTTGTCCCACGAGGAGTTTGTTAGCCTTAATGAATCCACCCCCCCAGTCATATTAATACTCACATTCCTCGAGGCACTGGCCGAGGAGGTGAGGTAGCAGCCATATATGATTCGAGCGTTTTAATGGACCCTAAACCTAAACTAAATTATAATTCATTTGAAAGCCTTGTTCTTAGTCTTTCTCACCCAAACTAGAAAACACTGCAGCCAGTTCTGTTTGTTATAGTGTACCGTGCTCCTGGACCGTACTCTGATTTTATATCTGAATTCTCAGAGTTTTTATCAAGTTTAGTCCTTAAATCAGATAAAGTAATTATTGTAGGTGATTTTAATATTCATGTGGATGTTAACAATGACAGCCTTAGTAATGCATTTATATCATTAATAGACTCAATTGGCTTCTGTCAGAGTGTAAATAAACCAACTCATTGTTTTAATCACACTCTTGACCTCGTTCTATCATATGGCATTGATATTGAACATTTAATAGTCTTCCCACATAATCCCTTCCTATCTGACCATTATTTAATAACTTTTGAATTCATATTATTAGATTATAAGTCATTAGGCAAAACTTCCTACAGCAGATGTCTATCTGACAGTGCTGTAGCTAAATTTAAGGAGGAGATTCCTTCAGTGTTTAATTCAATGCCATGTCTGAATTTAACAGAGTCCTATATTAACTTTAGTCCCTCCGAAATTGATAATCTTGTTGATAGTGCTGCAGGCTCACTACGATCAACATTAGACTCTATTGCTCCTATAAAAAGGAAATTATTAAAACATAGGAAACTAGCACTGTGGTACAACCACCAAACCCGCCAATTAAAGCAAAAAGCTAGGGAATCGGAAAGGAAATGGCGCTCTTCCAAATTATCTGAATATGGCTCAATTTGGCATGATAATCTTAAAGCCTATAGAAAGGCCCTCCGTAATGCCAGAGGAGCCTATTATTCAGCACTAATAGACAAAAAAAAGAACAACCCTAGGTTCCTCTTCAGCACTGTAGCCAGGCTGACAGAGAGTCACAGCTCTATTGAGCCACATATCCCCATAAACTTAAGTAGCAATCACTTCATGAGCTTCTTCTATAATAAAATTATTACTATTAGAGAGAAAATGAATCACCAACTGCCATCAACAGCTATCAGTGGCTCTCTTTTAGACCCTATCCCAACTAGGCTGCTTAAAGAAGTCCTACCCTTAATTGGCACTTCTTTACTGGATATGATTAATCTTTCTTTATTATCAGGATATGTACCACAGTCCTTTAAAGTAGCTGTAATTAAACCCCTTCTTAAAAAGCCCACTCTTGACCCAGGGGTTTTAGCCAAATATAGACCAATTTCTAACCTCCCCTTCCTCTCTAAGATTCTGGAGAAAGTAGTCGCCCAAGAGTTGTGTGACTTTCTACATAACAATAGTTTATTTGAGGATTTTTTTGTGTTTATATATACTGGCCTATTTAATTTCGTACAAGAGTGGGTGATACCAACCTCTTCTATGCAGAACTCCAAAGCCTTCCACTTTAACTGTTAATAATGATTTTGGTTGTAGTTATTCATTTAATTATTAATCCGATTTCTGAATTAATAGTTCAGTGTTTTTTATGAGACTGATCAATCAATTATTGGCTATCGTTTCCCTTATTTAAGGATGGTGCCCCGATGATCTTTAATATTAATTAAAGTCATTTTCTTATTATCTTTTGACAATTCATAAACGTTGATAACCAAAATTAATTGATTACACCAATACAGTTAAACCACTGTAACACCCTAAAAAGTGGGGCCCTACTGTACAGACTGAATTCAGAACTGTTCACACAGACAAACTTTAAAAAGAGTTTGTGCTCAGACAAACCCAGAAAACTGACGGAAATGTACAACTTCTGTTATGGATTTAGATTTGGTAGATATACACTGTACAAGAGCAAAATACATGAACTGACCTCAGAGTCTCCAGTTTACAGTTTGGACTCTGCAGTCCAGCACACAGCAGCTTCACTCCTGAATCCTGCAGCTTGTAGTTCTTACTCAGGTCCAGCTCTCTCAGATGGGAGGGGTTGGACTTCAGAGCGGAGGCCACAACTTCACAGTGAGTCTCTGAGAGTCCACAGTCAGAAAGTCTGTGATGACAGAGAATATAAAAACTAACTTTATAATAAAATCTGACACTTTATTATAACAATTGACATTTTTCATCACAAAGTACATTAACATGAGCGGCTGTTGCTCAGCTGGTCGGTCAGTCATTGATCACAAGGTTTGAGGTTTGAAACTGGAGCTCCTCCAGTCCACATGTCAACGTGTCCCTGAACAACATAATGAACCACAGACTGTGACTTTAGACAAAAGTCTCTGCCCATTGAAATGTAAACATGTTATATTCCGATTGTGATTTGTGTTTGTTAAACTTTATTTGAACATGATGTTCACTGAACTGTAAAATCACTGTAGGTTCAAACTGCACTCGGTTGTGTTTTTACCTCAGTCATGTGATTGGGTGGATTTTGTGCATCTTTGATGGATCTTTTTACGCAACTCCATCTGCTTTTTATCTCCCATGAAATTAACTTAATGACTACTATTGTAATTATAGTATAATAAGTACTAAACAATATTGAGCATAGCGTTAGTTCAGGCAGGGCACGAAGTCAGGCTTAGCTTTCAGTTACAGCTATATCATACGATCACAGCTAGTCATAAACATACATCAGCTGATTCCTCTAAGCTTCCCATTGGATACCATACACAGTCAGCTGACAGCTCACCTGATTTCCTCAAGCATCCAATTGGCAAACATCATGCATGGCGCCTTATTTAAGCTGCTTTAGCCTGCCTGCCTATCTCTGCTGCCTCCTCTACAAGCCTTTTGCACCCACCTCCACCCCAGCTCCTCCTTTTTATGTTGTTTCTAATTAATCAATGTCATTTTCTGATTGCCATTGATGCTGCTCTGTTCTGTACCCTGGGGGGTCTCTGCTGCCGCTCTCCCAGCCTTAAGGTTTTCCATGTAGGCACGCGGAAGGACATGGAGGTCCCAGAACAGAGCCATACCGCCAAATGTAAAATTTTGCTTGGGATATAAGATATTTTGACAAAAGTGGTCCTGACTGAAATATCATTATAGTTTATGGGAAACGGTTTTTCTACAGTGGAGTTCAACTGTTGAACAATATAATTTCTTCTCTGAGCTTGGTGATGATAAAATCCCTCCACTGAACTGAACCTACTGAGCTCTCCTTCACTGGCAGAATGAAGCTGGAGGCCGTCCCAGGAGCTGACTGTGTAATGAGCTGCTGTAAATCAGCTGCTAAAAACACAAAGACTGTGGCTGCAGATTAAATGAAAACCACAGTGGAAGTGTGCGCTGCTATTTTCTCTGCATATCTTGTCTTTAGTGTTATTGTAGTGAAATGGTGCAAAATGAAACACACTGACAGTTTGTGTCTGTAAACTGATTTTACTCTCAATTTCTGATTTGGAATATATCAGTAAAATTCCATTCAAACACTACCAGAGAGAGAGAGGGAGAGAGAGAGAGAGCTTCCTGACTGTATAAATCAAAATAATTTCTAATGTAGGAAGACATATGAAAAGACATTTATTGTTATAAACTCAACAATGTAAAGTTTGCAGAGTGAGATGTTCTGTTTGCTCTTCAAGAGGGAGGATGGCCTCCCCTCAAATCAATCAAAAGTTATATTGTATGAATTATAAAAATAGACAGAGCAGTCCTTCATATGAAACTGTAGAGTAAAAATATAACGGCGATAATTGCATGAAAGAAACTGAAAAATCTTATAGTGATGTTAGTTCAGCAGATCACAAATATTAGAGGTCAGTGTGTCTGTGTGTAAAAAGAACTAAAACAGACACATTATAGAAACAAACACTGTAAAGACTAAAACATTAAAAAGTCCTCAAGTTCTTCAGGATTCGTATCAAACCTCCATCACCCAAAGAAAGATAGTTAGAAGATGATTGAAGATTATTGTGTTCAATAACTTAATAACTGAAATTATGTTTGTAGTTTAACACATGTAGAATTATGTAAGTAAGCAGGTTTATTACTAGTTTATTAAAACCTTTATTATGTAGAAGTTTTATATTGTGTATGTGTGTAAAGTGCATCTTTAATACCGATGGATTCAGTTTTATGTTGATTTAAAATGTTGTTAATGGAC